GGGGGCATTAAGCTCTCTACTAGTCATCACATGAGGGAAGCAATCACATGAGATTGGTGATAAATGGTTGAATTCTATAGGGTTTATCACAACTACCTTAGGGGGGGGGTGGGGGATATTACGACATTGAAGTATGTCACACCAATTAAACTTGATTTAATTTTCTAAAAGGAACTTAAAATAAATATACCACATAAATAGTAATTTCCAAAAACAATGATATATAGGTGTAGTTTCCCCATGCTTAGTATGGGGTCATTCTCTAGTTCATGGATCTAAAGAAACTCTGCCAATTTAATCTTTCATCAATTCCTTTTAATGCAGTTCCACAATTCCAGAAATTGCATTTTGTCTTAATTATACATGTAGTCTTCCATTTTCACCCTTCTCAGGTTTGGCTTTCATGCCCCTCCATTCAACAGCGTTAACCATCTCCATCTCCATTGTTTGGCACTTCCTTTCATACCCAAGTAAGCTTTTGATGCTTGAAAAACTCCTTTATTGCTTTAATATCTCTTTTTGAAACAATAACATAACCTTAGTTTGTTGCATAGAAGTCAAATAAAACTCCTTTCTCTGATTCTCAACAAAGAGCTTTGAACAGATGGAAACATGTAAAATACATGTCTTTGGGACCTCTGGGATTCATCAAGGCTGAGAAGTTGATGGAGAAGATAAAGCCATAAAATATATTCAGTCAATAATGTGACTACTTCCAATTGTTGTTGCTTAAGTTGCATCAAGCAATGGTAAATGGGACTTTACCCTTTTCAAGTATTCTTATTTACTATTGTTGGAAAGCAGGATGCTTGTATTAAGATCTAGGAATCTTTTATAAGCATATTAATACTTGCTATTGAATATTTTTTCAGTTCATTGACACAGTATTATTTTTGGGTTTACGAGACATTAATTCATCCATCTCAGAATTTATGCAATTTATATGCATGTGTCCATGTTGTATACATCCTATAAGTGTGTGGGTAATCTGCTTGGGTTGCTGCTGTTGTCTTGAAATATGTAAAATTCCCAGGTACTCTGGATTATAAAACAGTCAATTTCTACATTTCATCACCATGTGTAGCTTGTTTACTCTGCTCAAGGCTAATATATTAGTCTTCTCTATTTTTATTTTATATTTGATAATGCCGTATGTTTGGCCCTCTTATTGTGGTTTCAGGGATTTCATTAAGATGTTCTCTGTTGCAATTATGCAAACTAAGAATTAGCCATTCTTATAAACCTAACTGCATTATTTAGGCTTTTTTTTTTGACAATTGGTTTTCTTTATTTGTACACAAATAACTGAATACTAGAGGTTTTTTCGGTATCTCTCAGGTTGATATTTTACCGATCTCTATAATGAGGCCATGTGATGGATGTCACAAGTCCTTTACCTTGTAATACATTGAACGTAACAAATTGGTTGCTGCATTTCGTCCTTCCATGATGAACTTAAAGAGTTAGAGGTAAAGTTATCAAGAATTGAAATTAGTGTAGGTGCCAGTTCTTGTGTCATTTTAAAATTGTCAGATTGAAAGCCACTTGAACCATGCTTGATTTTGGATTAGTATGAATTATTTTTGCCACAAAATGGCAATTAAAAGGAATTATTTTTGGTGACAGCCCTTATCCCTTGATCACCCTAAGTGCCAAGGTTCAAAATTTCGCAATGTATAGGACCATATCAGCCGATACATATCGTTCTGGTACAAGTCCGATACACAGAACACATAGAAATTATCTGTAGCGTTCCTTTTCGTATGTATCGAACTGTTTTGGGCCATGTATCGGACTGTTTCAGGTCTGTATCGGCCGATACGGTTCCGAAACAGTCCGATACAGCCTGATACAAGTCCCCTTCTCTCTCATTATTAATTTCATTAAATTATTTTTAGGGTCAAATTACCTCTCATTAATTTTATATTTACTCCTATATTTAGGTGCAATTTCTCTCTCATTAATTAGTTAATTACTCCTATAATTAATGCATAATTTTAATTTTGAATTTCAATTTTAGTGCCTAATTGGAATTCTCTTCTCATTTATTTCATTAATTAATAACCCTCTTTCTCATTAAATTTGTTTTGTTAGTACAAAACTACAAACTTAGAAATAGCAAGATTCGAACCCTAGCCATTAGGCTTTAACAACTAGAGGTTCACCACTAAGCCACACACATTTACTTGTATAGGTTTATGAATTTTTATTGTTAAGTAAATTTTCTCTTTTTCTTAGTGTATGCTTATCTTTAAAATGTTAAAATTAATTATTAAAATTTATGTATTAATAAATATTAAGATAAATTATATTGATTATTTTAAAACTAATGTATATCAATATTTTAGTTTTTTTGTTTTTTCACGTTTTAGTTATTCCATCATTTGTCAATAGTTACTAAGTGTGTCCCGATATCTCGAATTTTATATAGACCGTTAAATTACAGTTTTTTTTTTTTACTTTTAAATAACTTATTTACAATCACATAATACTTGTAACTATCATTATTAATATATTTTTTAGGATTTATTTGAGTTTTTTAGCATATTTATGTGTATATTGATTTTTCATCCGTATCCATACGTATCCAAAGCGTATCCCGATACGTCTCTTAAAATTATCTTTCCGATACACCTTGCGTTTCCAATACTTTAAACTTGACCCTAACTGGCACTATTTGGAATCAAGGCAATAAATGTCATTTAACATCTTTCCTTAGGGCCTTGGTTCTCAATGGAAGCTCATCAAAAGGTGTCAAATTTTGTTGGGGGCAAGTGGAAAAGTTGCTCATCCTAACAGTCGCTCCCAGAAGTGTCTTAAGATTTTTGCATCATGCACTGCCTCATTATATGATGGGGATTGCTTTGCACTAATCTACCCTTGTGTCATTTTCATCAACATGCCATTATCATAATGATCAACCTGATCATCCCTCAAATTCTTCAAGACCATTTTCATGATCATAATTATGATTTCTTTTGTCATCACTGCATCCTTCACACCACCATCTGGATTGTCTTCATTGATATTTTAATGCATCCAAACCCATGGCGACAAATTGGAACTCAAATCATTATTTGAAACCTTTAAGATTACAAAGATTTCAGAATTCTATGTGTTGGATTGAGTAGGCTGTATGTTTGTGGGTTTATCAGTCTTATTTATATTTCAGAACTCTTCATTGTAATGGGCCTAAACTGTTTTATTATTTAAGTGTCTAGGTGTCCCATCACTAATCAAGAGGCATTTTAGTCTTTTTTCCTGTAATTATTCAAATGTTAATATAAGATAGCTTCTAATTCTAGGACCAGCTGAGAACTCTTCTGGCCAACCATACACTCTTCTTTTCTCCTTTCTTCTCATCTCTTCTGGTTTTCCTCTCTAACAAACCAGCAAACACTATATTCACACTGAAGTTGTTAACTTGAGATGGTTAAATATGGCCAGGGTCATACATCTTATGTTTTATGAGCTGGTAACGAGTTGTGGTAAATGCCTGCACATGTATTTGGATGCGTCGATCAGTTTTGGCGCTTCACAACATATTCCATTCTTTTACTTCATTCTGGGTGGCTTCCCATTGTTGTCCAAAGATTTTGGAATTTGATTTTTGTTTGCACTAAAGTTGTTAATATCAGATGGCTAGATATGGCAATATTTGCAGATATTTTGGGTAGATCAGTTATATATTCTTGGTTAAAAAATGAGCATGGCTGAGGATGATAAAATGGATGAATAGCAAGAGTAAGAAAGAGATAATTAGAAAGTAATGCATTAGGAATAACTTAGAATTAGCTCAATAGGATAAGCACCTCAGTTATGCACCCTATGTGGCCGATGTGGTAAACCCACGGGTCATGAATCAATAAACAGGTTCCATTTTGAAGTGTATTAAAGAATAGAATTTTTCAGGAATTACAATATTGTCAGTCTTAAAAGTACAATGTATAGAAATTATTGAGCAAAATGGCAGGTTATTATTTCTGTAGCCGACCCCAAATACTTAGATTGAGGCTGACTTGTGTTGAATACATTAAAAATATTTATGCGTAGAAATGGTATACATAAATGTTCTATTTGGTCATCTAATTGATTGTATTTAATTGTGAGCCCTTTGTTCTATTCAATGTTCTGTTATAATGTCTATTGTGATCACTTGCGAACATCAAACTTAGATCATCATAAGCAATGCTTGATGACCCAAATGGATATTGATTACTATAATCCCGAATCTATTCACATCAATCTCTGAGATTTCCTTTAAAGCAAATAAAACTGCTTGCACACAACTATCAAGGCACCCTTATTTTCAGAGCGCACTAAGAGATTATGATATCATGGGAGGAAGAGAAAGGAATGACATTAGTTGATCCCTTGCAAAAGTGAAATGATAAGCTTTGCAACAGATTTGCTTACACAACAGTAAGTAGGAATGTAGATTTCCATCCATCCATTGTTTTGGGTGGCTTTAGATGCTAAAGACTGGCTCCATAAGATCGGCCCACACCACAATCCATGATTGAGATGTGTGCCTTTACCAGACTTGGTCTTACCTTACCAGGTTGTCTGTCGACATCAAAGGAATTGCAGATTATATATTGCCATTCAAATTCTAAAGAGACTTTACACTTTACAGGACAACTGGTTAAATATTGGGAAAATTCTACTTTAGTACTCCGAACTTTAGGGGTAGTGTGAAGTTAGTAGCCTAACTTTCAATCTTGTCACTGCAGTACCTAAACTTCCAAAAAGTGTCAAATTGGTCCTTGCCATTAATCAACCGTCAGTTATCTGTTAAAAATGTCAAAATTACACTTCAAAAGAAGATACTGTTCATTATCTTCTACCCAATGCACAGTTTCAATGCAAGTCAGATCTGCCCACAAGAATCCTATCCACGCCTACCCACATGACACTGCAGCTGTACAGTGGGAACTTCCCATGCAAACATGGAAGTGTTCTCAATGTACAGCTGTAATATGGCGTGGGTAAGAGATCCGAACTCACTGCAATGGCTTGTTGGTACTAGATCCAAACTGGTTACTGGGGGTGAGGTTTCTTGAAGGGTTGCTTCAATAATATTTGAAAGAAATAGAGACTCATTAGCCTCTTCTTTGAACCTTGAAGGTTCAGAAGGACCAGTTTAAGGCCAGTACACCCCCTGAACCACTTGCTGACCCAAAACACCCCTTATAGGAAAATATCGGGAAGGCTCCAATACGATACGGGTCAATACATATTGATACTTTAAACCTTGATTTGAATGATTCAAAACACCAATTTGATGTTTCTAATAATAACCTCTCTCAAAGGTATGCCTATTTCAACCATAAATAGATTCAAATAACAATCACATGCCAATTCATATTGGTCATCCCAAAACGTTTCATATAGAAACAACAGTGGAACCAAGCAGAACTACATGACCTTGCGGTGATTCATTCTCACCAACTAAGCATAATTAGCTAAGATTTATATTGAACCCTCGAGATCATGACTGCTATATTAGTTGAGATTCATGAACTCCATGAGCTCCAAGGAGAAAATTGCAATTGCACGCGAGAAAAAATGCATTAAATAGAGCAAAACTTGACAGCTGGCAAGAAATAAAAACATGAATTAGGTTGACAATAGAAAACCAGTTAGAGATTTCTATATATGTAATCATCTATGCATACTCAGTTTTCACTGCACAATGTTTTTAATAAAATTTTCAAAGTCCAAAGAGAAGAGGCTGTTGACATGAGGGATGAAGCAGCATTTTTTAGGGCTGAACTTGACCACCTTCCATTGCCCAACTTTTGTATCGTAGATATTAAGATGTATTTCAGTTCCATGGAAAACAATAACTTCACAGTTTCTCCAACTCGTAATAACCCGGAACAAATTCAAACTTACCTCCCAAGGCAATTGGATGTTGTATTCTTTAACATCTCCTGTGTAAAAATCTCTCAAAGTCCACACGTCCATTTGTCTATAGGGATCTCGATCAAGAAAGGACAGACAACCTCCTCTCTCTACTAACTCTCCATCTACAAAAAAGCGTTGTGTAGGGAGCTACACCACATGGAACTTTTCTTCCCTGAGGTCGATAGAAACAATATACCTGGAACTCACATTCCAGAGTTTCACTGAAACTCTTGTTCCCCTAAAGTTTTTATCATCAACTAGGTTTTTTGGCATTGAGTCGACCAATCGCCACGAATTATCACCAGCACTACTTAATGTCAGTATCTCACATCTAGGAGTGAGACCACAACCATAATCCTTATATAAGTGGACCCTTGAAAAAGTAAAATGGGAAGCTGTGCAACAGATTTGCTTACACAACAGTAATAAAGTAGGAACGTAGATTTCCATCCATCCATTGTTTTGAGTGGCTTTAGATGCTAAGGACTGGCTCCATAAGATCGGCCAACACCACAATCGATGATTGAGATGTGTGCCTTTCAGTGCGGGGTCGAGGTGAATGGTTTTTGACAGGATGGGGAGAGCCTTTACCACACTTGGTCTTACTCTTATCAGGTTTTCTGTCGCCATTAAGGCTCAGTTTGAAAGCAGTATAAATGCAAATATGTATAGCATAAATACATACAAAATATAAGGTTTTGCATTCTACATATTTGCATTTGTACTCTTTCCAAACTCAGCCTAAAGGAATCGCAGGTTATATATTGCTATTCAAATTCTTTATTAAAATTTTGAAAATTTCCCTCCTTAATGGTAGGACTACCTGGTTGGTCTCCTGACAACCCTTGTCATTCGATCCCCCTATCCAACTAGGCTATTGGACAGCCCTTCTTGGTTGTCCCCGAGTCTGAGATCTTGACGAGAAGCTATTACCAGCAGGGAATGAATCTTGGTGACC